GGTGATGGAAAAGAAGAATGATGACCGCACCGTGAGATAAAAAAAATTTGCCACATATACAGGCGTTTATAGCCCTATTTTTTACCCGGGGGAAGCAGACGACATCTCTACTCGCAATTTAAACAAAGGCTTATTTGCCCAGGATTTCACCACCAATATGCTTTAATCTCCACGCGCTATATGTCTCCCACAGAGCTGTTGTATATCCCACCCACCGGTTTTTCGTACAGAAACACACCTTTCTTTCTCATATATCGAACCAGGCCCCTATGAGGAGACAAAGTCTCTCTCCTCAGGGGACCCAGAGCGCCGAGAGGCGTCCCCGGTCAATAAGGGAGGCGTTTTCACCGACGCTGGCAGGGGCGGGGCCGGAGACGGCCGTTGCGGTCGCCGGGAGCCGGCGGGCGAGCTCCTCAGTGGAAACGGAGAGTACCCGGTGCAGCGCCCCAGCGGTTGCGGGTTCGGGGAGAAGACCCGGAGCGCGCCCGGTGCCGGCGTTAGCCGAGGGCGCAGACCCCGCTCCGACCCGAGGACCGCCGCCGCCGCGTGTGGCCGGGAGCGATGGTCGGGTCTCACTAGCCCTTTAGCGGGTTTGTAAGCGACCCAGTAGCTTCACCGAGAAGACGGTGGCGGCGCGGCCCGGGTTGAGGTCTGGGAGGAGCCCGGAGGGAGGACCGCGTCTGTGGCCCGGATGTGATTCTCAGGGTCTCGCAGCAGGACGCGGGTCTGGGGGGCGGGGGCGCCCCCACCTGTCCGCACCCCGATGCGCTCTCCTGTTGCAACAGGAGCCCGTGCCGCTTTCAACGCCCGGTTTCAGTGGCCGCCTCGTGTGCGCTCGGGGGCTTCATTTTCTGTGGTTATTGCACATCGGAAAGCTTCCGCCCTGGGTCGCTTTCCCGTTCCGAGGCATCAGCCTTACTTCTGGTTTTTATACTGCATTTTAGTTTTTGTATTTACAGGGAATATTATGTTTTTGTCCTGTTTTCAGTGTAAACATATATGGAAATCAGGAGAATTCATATGCACAGGAAACATTTGCTTTCTAATTTTTCTGAAGAGACGAGCTTAAGTTGTTGGGGATATTATTGTTTAAAGGTGTGATGTAACCTGATTGCAGTGAGGAGCTGAATGTATGACGTCACGGAGACTATTGACTAATCCCAAATTAAATGTAACCACTCGTGTGTGTTTTTTAATTAAGGAGAACATATAATTTTCATTTGTATTATGTCAAACCAACAAGTATAAAATGTGCAAACTTTTATTCCCCCAGTGTGGCCTAGGTTTTCTTTCTTTGCTTCTGTATTCACGTTAACACTACGGTGTCGGGTGAATTTCCCGCCAAAATATAAGATGGCGCGTTAAAATGCCTATATCTTTTGAAGTATGGGTTCGATTGAAATGAAATATTTGGTAATACGCAGTTACAATCGGCCCGAGTTTACACGTTTCCCGCACTCCACCGCAAATCTATATGAACCCAGTTTAAGACGGCTCCCGCGGAGTACGCGCAATTCACGCGAGCCGACTTAACTCGTTTCCCGCAACCCAAGTTTAACAAAACAAAACTGCTTTGAGTGTAGAAAGCAGAGTTCGTGCTGCCGCGGTGACGGCTGCTTGTCTTGCAGGCATGTGGGCTCACTCCATGACGGTGCAGGACTACCAGGACCTCATTGACCGCGGGTGGCGGAGGTGAGCGCAGCCAGGAGGCTTCTCCCTTACTCAGGTTCTTGGAAAAAACACACCGTTTCCTTTAAGAAGTTTTTCTGCTGTTGGGAAGAGGTTTAAGACTTTTTTTTTTATCCCTTTATGTAATGATTTTGTTCTCTTTTTAATGATGTTTACTAGGAAAACTTCAAATATATACATAGAAGGTACATTATGATGAAGCTCATGTATCTATCACCAAGCTTCAACAATTGTTAACATTTTGCAGTCTTGTTTCATCAATTTTTTTTTAAGTATGATGTGTTTTTTAAATCTTTTTTTTTTTTTAATTTTATTGATTTGAGAGAAACATCAGTGGGATAGAGAACATCAATCAGTTGCCTCCCTCCCCCCCACCCCCACCCTCCCCCAATAGGGGATGGAACCAGCAACCTTTTGGTGCCTGGGACGATGCTCAACCACACTGGCCAGGGCTCATCAGTTCCTTTTGGTCCCTGCAATGGACTGAATGTCTGTGTCCGACCACACTTTACAGCTTCAGTCCTAACCCCGTTGTCATGGTGTTGGGAGGTGGTCGGCCTAGATGGAGCCCTCACCAGTGGGATTGGTGCCCTGTGAGAGCGAGCTCCCTGCCCTTCTCCCACACGAGGCTCCCGGAGAGCAGGAGCCAGGAAGCTTGTCTTCACGAGACACGGATCTGCCGGGCCTGTCGTGGACGTCCCCGCCCCCAGAACGGGGAGAATACATTTCCATTGTTTAGAAGCCACTCGGCCTGTAGCACTTCGTGGTAGCAGCCCAAGTGGACTTCTCCCCCCACAAAATAATTTAAAGCAGATTTCAGGTGCCAGCGTACCTGTAGCAAGTGTGGTTTCTAAGAGAGAAGGGTTCTTTTTCCTTTGCGAGATATCCACAATACCATTTGCTATACCTTACAAAATTAGTAATTCCTTACCTGTTACCTAGTTCTGGTTAGATTTTCTGCTCATCTCAGATGTGTGTTTTTTAACAGTTGGTTTATTTGAATAAGGATTCCATTAAGGCCCACATATTGCATTGCCTTCGATGGCTAAGATTGCTTTGGGAGTTATTTTTATGTGGATTCTTTTAAAGTAACTATTAGGTAAAGTTCCTTACATAAGTATTATGAGCAGTTAAGTGCCCTGTGCCAATCAAGAGACCTGGGATTAAGCACAGCAGATGAAACTTCACAACTTCCCTTAAACTTAATAACAACGGAGTTCAAAAGTAGACACAGGCCAGGTGCCAAAGGACCTTGTGTGCCATGATCAGGAACCTTTTTAAAGGCAGAAGGGAACCTGCCGGCTGTGTGTCCCACGGGAATGGGAAGTAGCAGAGACGTGTCTGAGGGGTGACCCGAGAGGCAGAAGACTGGCTCCAGGACGATGCATTGCTGGGGGGTGAGGCATCAGCAGTGGCCAGAGGCAGGAGGGACAGGTTGAAGGTTTATTTTTTAAATATATTTTTATTGATTTTAGAGAGAATCATTGATTGGCTGCCTCCTGCACGCCCCCTACTAGGGGTGTGCCTGCAACCAAGGTACATGCCCTTGACTGGAATTGAACCCAGGACCCTTCAGTCCGCAGGCCAATGCTCTATCCACTGAGCCAAACTGGCTAGGGCTGGAGGTTCATTTTAGAAGTAGAAAGATTGCTGACAGGAAATAGCGCTCATTAGAGGGAGGAGTCTAAGATGACCCCTCGGTTCCTGGCTCTGAACTGAATGTGTTTGGGCTGCCATACAATATGCCACAGACGGCAGACGGGCAGTGTAACAGAAATGTGTTTTCTCGCAGAGGTCAAAACCAAGGTGTCCAGAGCTTTGGTGTCTACTGCGGCCTCTCTCTGTGCTTACACATGGCTGCCTTCTCCCTGTGCATACACGGTCCTCTGGGTGGGCATCCCTGGGGCCTCATCTCTGTGTTTCCATTTTTTTTTCTCATAAGGACGCGTATCAGATTGGATTATGGCTCATCTTAGCAGCTTCTTTTTAACCCAGTCCCTCTTTAAAGGCCTGATCTGCAAACATAGTCTGGGGTGCTGGGGGTTAGGGCGTCAACGTTTGAATTTCAGCCACAATGTCGTGGCTCTGCCATTCACTGAGCTCTAGAAAGCATGAAAGGAACAGGTGGGTGTGGGTGCTTGGTGCTGTTGCACATGGAACCCCCAAGTGTGGCTGTCATGGGCAGCAGCCGGCCTGGGTCCTGCCGTCTCCAGCACAGAGGATCTGGGTGGTAGCTCAGGCCTGGAAGGGGTGGCAGGTGCTGATGAGGAGGTGGCTGAGGGGAGTGGTCTGGGAGGACCTGGGTCAGGTCTAGCAGGAGGTGCTGGCCTCTGGCCTCAGCACACCCACGCTGCAAGATGGTGCTTAGGAAGAGTAACTAAACTAAATGCGCTTCTGTGCTATTGATTCGATTTTCCCCAATTAAGTTTGTGCTTCTGTAGTAATCTACTTTGGTATATATGAGAAATATGTAAGAAATTAACAAAACTATTTTATAATTTTAGAAGTGGGAGATATGTGTACAAGCCTGTGATGAATCAAACGTGTTGTCCTCAATACACTATAAGGTAAGAATTTTGATTAATAGAAAGAGGCTCCATAATATGAAGATTGTGTATAGTATTTTAGTAGAGTCTTGCTGGTTTTAAATGTTAATTTTCATTCTAAGTAGACATTCTTTTTTTAAAAAAAAATATTTTATTGATTTTTTACAAAGAGGAAGGGAGAGGGATAGAGAGTTAGAAATGTCGATGAGAGAGAAACATCGATCAGCTGCCTCCTGCACACCCCCCACTGGGGATGTGCCCGCAACCAAGGTACATGCCCTTGACCAGAATCGAACCTGGAACCTTTCAGTCTGCAGGCCAACGTTCTATCCACTGAGCCAAACCAGCTAGGGCTAAGTAGACATTCTTTATAAGGAAGAGCAAATGAGTTAGGGCTTTTCCACATACTGCTGCTATATTCATGTGGTGATCAGAAGCTTTTAGTAGTGCTTAATTGGTTCACATCTATCGATATAAAAGCCTTAATGACTGTTTGGTGCCTGTGGCATGCACTGACCATCGGGGCAGATGCTCAGTGCACAGGCATGGAAACATGGAACAGATTGATGAATCTCAGAGGGGTGGGGGAAAGGGCGGGAAGAGGTTAACCAAAGATCTTACATGCATACTAGAGGCCCAGTGCACAGATGCACAGATTCATGCACTGGGGGATCCCTCAGCCTGGCCTGCGCCTTCTCGCGATCCGGGACCTCTCGGGGTATGTCGGGCTGCTGGTTTTGGCCTGATCCCTGGGGGCTGACTCCACTGGTGCACGAATCCATGTACCGGGCCTCTAGTATGAAAAAATATCCTCTTCATTTGGCAGTGTTGGCAGTGATAGCATGAAATAATGGTAAATACTCAAATTACTTTTAGATATCAAATTTTTATAGGTTTTGGCTCGGGGCTTTCCCTGCTCTAGCATATAACTTAACACCGTGCCTGCATTCCGGCAGTGCGAGGTCGGATTCTGGGGGAAGAAGAGCAGCAGGAGGGCTCAGTCCTGAACTGCCACATGCATTCAGAGTCCACTTTCCTTTATTAGAAAACTTAAACGAAAAAGTCTTATTTTCCTACAGAGTGTTCAATTTTTCATAATCTTTTGGGTTTACCCTCTGCCCCCTTCACCACATCCTAATATGAAAAGATGTTCTCTCTCTGGCCTTGGGGATCCGTGTACCGTGCGGGTCTTGCTTACTGTGGGCTTTGAGTCGGGGTCTGGCTGGGCTGTTCTGTTGGGGATCCCCCGTGTCAGTGCTTTCAGGTCTGATCACATTTGGAGAGAAGCCCTCACCTCCAGGAGGTCTCAGTCTCTTGCTCCCCGCGTGCTTGTAGCCCTCGTGGAAGAGGCTGTTTCTCTCTTTACTGAAACTGCAGTTTTCTACTGGGTTGTGAGGGAGTCCTCTGTGCAGGGCGGGGGAGGGCACCTGACATCCAACTGCTTCCAGAACCTCCTTCCAGGGGCTCTTCCGAGCTGTAGATGCACCTTCTTGCATGTCCCCTGTGGTGTGTGATGCAGGTATCACTAGCCCTGAGGCATTATGGGTGATGCGGAGACCGGCAGTAGGGCATCCTTTGGGCTTTGCTCACGGTTGGTTCAGGGTTGACTTTTTTGGGTCTGCTCAGTCAGCTACCCTTGTACTTCCGCTTCCCAGCTCCCAGCATTTCTCCCATCTGTTTCCTAGTGTATTATGTCTTTCTTTCCTAATCCTTAGTTTTAGTGAGATGTGAGGTGAGGTTAGAGGCTACGTTAAGCCTTGACTTTATCCAGAAATCCCAGGCATAAGCTTTGCCTCAATATACTGGATACTGTCCATAACTGGTTTATTTCTTCAGAGTTTGAGTTCATTTTTTAAATATTTATTTTGCTTTCCTAGGTGCCGATCTTTACAGTTTCAGCCATCAAAATCTCACAAGAAGGTTTTGAAAAAAATGTTGAAATTTCTGGCTAAAGGGGAAATTTCCAAAGGAAATTGTGAGGGTAAGATGAGATGGGGTCTAAAAACTGTTTACTTTAAAATGATGTCTCTTTCCAATGTTCTCATTTTCCGCCAGGGAACAGGGTCCTTACGACAGCAGGTACCGCTGTTGCTGTGACGAGTTACTGCGAGCTGTTGTTACGGTTACCCTGGCCCCACATCAGGGCATGGGAAATGGATGCCAGGGCGAGTCCTGCTTGATGTGAGAGTGAGGGTCATTTTCGAGATACGATGTTGTGGAGTTTATGGAAAGCGTAGTTGTCATGGTGCTTTGACAACTCCTCTCTTACTTGGTCCCAGTAATATCCTGAAGGAAACGGGAAGGGGTGTTGTCTCTGGAGACCAGGTGCTCACGTGCAACTTGCATGCGATTGCAGTCACTGTGACTGTTGAGTCGGGCGCGGATTTTCTGTTTAAGTGAGATGACTTTAGTAAGTTATTGCCTGAAATTCTGTTTCTTACTTGTCTGACCAATTTTGAATTATGTGGTAATTTCTTTTTTTGTTTTTTAATGTGTGAATTTCTTAAAGATAATTAGTAACATTTAATTAACTGTGGTTACAGATACTTTGCATTTCCAGTTTTGTTACTTAAAAAAACAAACAAAAAACCCCTTTTCTTATAGGCAGTGCCTAAATAACATATATAAGAATTGAGAATGCACCCATTCTTCACGCTCCTGAAGGAAGCCTCCCACCCCAGTCTTAGCTTGTTAATTTTTCCCAAGTATGCTTTGAGTGCCTACAATGTCCCAGGCCCTTTTGTAAGCACTGGAGAGACAGTGGCCAGCGAGACAGGTACGTTCTCTGCCCTCCTGCACTGTCCATAATGGACCAGGATTCAGGACAGGTTGGAACTGACTGGGCAGGGCTCAGGTCATGGAGTCAGGCTCAGGTCAGGGGCAGTTGGCGCTTTGGGAGCCTCAGGATGTTGGCTTAGCTCTGCTGCTTATTGTCCGTTCATCATCTTGCAGGTTAGATTTGTTGGTTAGTCAGTGTACAAACTTTCCAATGGCTGGGAATCCTGTTCTGAGTTTCAAAAATTAATATTTAGATAAGCTTTGAGGATGCTGTTCATTTGTAAATTGATGGTTGCCTGCCCTTTTTATTTTTAATATGTATGTTTTTTATTGTTGATAGTTTTACAGATATCTCCCATTTACCCCTCCCTGGTTGCCTGTCTTTTCATGTAGCTCTTATGTTCGGTTCTTTATTTGATTTGTATAATTTTCTGAATTACTTATGTCTGCAACTTAGTTAATAGGAGTGATGTACTCATTAGGGTAAAAGCTGTAACATAGAGACGCCAAATGCAGTGACGAAACGAGGATAGCAGTCTGCTCCTGCCTCGCACAGCAGTCGGGTGCTGTGTCAGGCTGGCCGTTCCGGGCCGCCCTCCATGTGTTTCCAAGCTCGCTCTGGTTTTTACTGATCCTGCCAGTGGGGAGGGGAAAGGATGGAAGTTCAGGGCACATATTTCCTTTAAAACAAGGGAGGCAACGTTGGATATATCCGTTTGGTTATATTTTGTTGGTGGGAACTTGGTCCCAACTTGCAGAGGGATGGCAGTGCGCTCCCTGGCTGGGCTGCCCCAGTCCTGGCTGCCGCTCTGCTGCTGGGAGGGCGGGAGGGTGGATTTGTGGACACACAGGAGCTTCTGCTACGGAGGGTAAAGGGACATTGCTCCCCTTGATGTGCCTTAACCGTGTCTGGCTGATGGACTTGGCTGTTTTCTTGTTTGTAGATGAGCCTATGGAGCCCAGCATGGAGGATGCCGTTGCCGGGGACGTGGCGCTAATCAATAAATTGGATCTACAGTGTGACCTTAAAAAGCTCGGCGATAACCTCAAAGAGAGCTTAGAGAGGGAAGTGAAGAAGAAAGGAAAAAGCACAAAGAAAGAGGAATCGAACGAGTTTATTCAGTCCCAGGACAAAAACGAGGAGCTGGGCTCTGGGGAACCGTCCCACGCAGTGGACGTGCACACAGCTCCTAAGCCAGGTAGCGCCTATGTCATCAACGTCTTGTCAGATGCCCTTCTTTGTGCTGGGGTGTTACCCGGGTCCTCACATCAGCTGCAAATGCGAGTGACTCCTGAGTCTACAGCATACAGCTTACTGCCTGGGTTTAGATGGACACGTCACATCTTTTTAAAACCAGTGTTTAGTGAGCCTGAAAATAGCCTTATTATCCCCAAACACATTTGAAAAGAGCTCCATTTCTTCTTACTACCTTAGGGCACTCGAGGCTTGAGAACCAAACTTTTTTAGTGAAAAGATATGCTAAACATTTTTATTTTTGATGTTAAGTGAGACAAAGTAATTTTTGGTATTATGTCCACAGTATATAGACATCATAAAATTCTTGTTTATCATTAGTTTTCTTTAGATAATCATAATAAATTTTAATTTAAAAAATTTGAGATTTTGATATTTAATTTCACTTTTAAAAAGGTAAGATTTTTTTCCTATATTTTCACTTATAAAAAGAATTAAGTTTAAAAATTTTATTAAGCATTAAATGGGTATATAATGTGCTTGTGTGCATGTATGTGTATATAATTCTTTTAAAATTTTATAAAAGTAGTTTGGATGATTTTTATGCTTCATTTCTTGAATTTGTTCTTATACTTAAGAACAAAGGATTTTTAGTACTATTCAGTACTATTTTAGTTTTTCTTTGCTACGTATACAAAGGCACAGAAAACTTTTTGTTGAAGTGTTTTTTTTGTGTGTGTTTTTTTTTAATGTAAGACTTTCATGGCATTTAAACTGATGTTGGTCTGAGATTTTATCCTAAAAATGAGAATAAGCCATTAAAATACTTTGAATGGTTCAGATAATTTCCTTCAACTTTTACTAGAGTGATAGGGTTAGTTCTTTTATTTTTAATTTCTTACTATAAAAATTACTTGTGTATCAGATTAAAAAGCCATTTCAGAGAATTTCAAACAGACACATGAAGACTGAATATTATAACGAACTTCCATGTCCCCTCCCCTCATTCGAAAGAGTCACTGACGTATAATTGATGGTACTTACGATTTTTGTTGTGCTGATAGTATTACAGATGTCTCCCATTTTTGGTACTACTGTTTCTATGATGACGATTACTCTTGAACTGCTGTTACTATTACACTGGCCCATAGCAAGGATATGGGAAATGGATGCCAGGAGGAGTCTAGCTTGGTATAAGATTGAGGGTCATTTTCAATATGTGAGATCGTGGAATTATGGGGTCCCAGATAGTTAAAATTTTTACCTTTTAAAGAGGTTTGATTAAAATTCTGATGCAGTGGTTCTCAACCTTCCTAATGCCGCGACCCTTTAATACAGTTCCTCATGTTGTGGTGACCCCCAACCATAAAATTATTTTCGTTGCTACTTCATAACTGAAATTTTGCTACTGTTATGCATCATAATGTGAATATCTGGCATGCAGGATGTATTTTCATTGTTCGCGACCCACAGGTTGAGAACCGCTGAAGAGCTAACTAATGCGACTCCTCAGTTAGGTGGGGAGAGAGAGACATGCTGTCAACCAGGTAGAGGTGTTTTTCATTGAGAACCTGCCCCAGTGTGCTCTGGGGTCAGCACCTCTTTCTACCTGAGGCTGAGCGTGTCTGTGTCCCCAGTGCTCAGGGGTGTGGGCCTGAGGCAGCCATGTCCTGAGCAAAAGGTACTTGATTATGTTCTCTCTCCTCACAAAGGCAGAGAGGACGTAAACGTTTTTAAACAGAGATTTTCCACAATAAGAGCTGGAAAGCTCCGTGCCTCTTCACCTTCTCCGGCAGTTCTTGCTTCCAAGGTAGAATTTTAAGATTGACTTTCGGCTCCACACCAGGACCCTCAGACACCTGACAGCTGGGTCTCTCTGGATTTGTTCTGTAGCGTCTTTGAGACTTGAAAAAACATTTCCAGAGTCAACTGTGATTGGTCTAATATTCTGAAATTCTTTTTAGGCAAAGGGGCAGATTTGAGCAAGCCTCCGTGTCGGAAAGCAAAGGAAATCCGGAAGGAGAGGAAGAGGTTAAAGCTCATGCAGCAGAGCCCGGCCGGAGGGCCGGAGGGCTTCCAGGCTCCACGGGAACCAAAGACCAAACCCAACCAGCCGAAATCGCTGGAGGAGTTAATTTTTGAATCTTTACCGGAGGATGCGTCACATAAGTTAGAGGTACTTTGGAGAACATAGAATGTTCTGTTTTGCTTTATTGTTTGTTTTTTTGTGGATTCCCTTGTATGTTTTCATTTGAGGTTATATTAACCCATTGATGCGTTGTGTAAACGGAATTAAAGTGGATGGAGGGGCATTTGTGTTTACTAAGTCAGCTGCTACTTGAGAGAAACAAGATTAAAAAAATAGGCAGTTTGACTAAAGTTACCAAAGCAATTCCAGGTTTTTGCATGTTATGATGCGTAAAGTCTTTGGCTTTCTGTATCCCGTGATTGAAATTTAGTAGTTAAGTGAAAAAAAGCAAAAAGCACCTGTTTAACTTTCACTTGTGGCAGCTGTGGTTTAGATAGTAAAGGCGAACAGGTCACACGAGGCGCATCACCGTTGTCGCTATTCTGTTGTCCTGACCGTAGTCGAGCAGCAGCAGCAGCACCTGTGCAGGCCAGCAGTGGGAGTATGAAGCAGTGCTGAGTCGTACTGCGTACTGCGTAATAAACTTCTCGTTACTCCCCCAAGCCCGGTTAGCATGATAGGAACACTTTTAGAGTGTTCCTGCTATTTTTCCCAAATTGATTTACATTCCAGATTAAGTCTAGATTTTTCAGTATCCGTTTGGTATTTATACCTTGTTTTCTAAATCAGCCATAATGATACTATCATATTCTCATAAATGATTAGTAACTGCTCAGCCTTTGAGTTCATAGCTTAATGTCACCTAAGAACATCTCCTATCCCTGAAGATTTGATACTAAAAGCTAGCTTTGTCACAGTGTGAACTTAGGACAGTGTTACCAGGTGTAACTTTTAACAGCCTCACTCTGTACTTCCTGGGCCACTCTGATTTTGTTACTGACTTTCTCCTTCCCAACCGGTAAAGAAGGAGTTAACACCCTACTTTAAATATTTTATGAGGAGTCATTTATCTTTTGATCATAAATAGTAAGGTATTCAGGGTACCAGGCACACTTAACCTAACTGTTTACAGTAGGCAGCTTTTGCTTTTTAATGTAATGGCCCCCTGGACGGACAGAGACCTGCTGTCCACTGTCACGCTTGCTTCGTAGAAGAGTTACTTCTCAAGGCATACGTGACATATGCCTTTTTATTAAATTGCTTTGATTTTCTGTTTTACTATCCTGTTTTGCTAACATTTTGGCTGGCTAGTAAATAATTAATATTAAAATAAATGTTAGCCATTGCTGCTTGCAATTACTGTTTTTAACTCTTCCTCATTTTACATATGAGTAAATTAAGGTACACAGGCTAATTATATATTGAGCACGACGGTGACGTTAAGATTTGAGTGAAGGAAATCTGAGTTAGAGTCTGCATTCTTAGCCGTGTTATAAAATAGGAGCACTCTCTTGTCTTTCACACTCATAAGAAAAGGTGGTAAGTTTAGCATTAGCAGTAACTCATCAGAGTGTCCAAAAAACCTATTCACATTTCCAGAATTTCGGACTGACTGAGCGCAGGTGAGCTGCACACAGCTAGGATGGAAGAGTGTGTATTTGTGTTTGTACCCTGCGTGTCAGAAGTATCCTGTCATTTACAAGAGAGCAGCTTCCATAATTGGGTCGTAGACTTCAGCTAGTCTTAGAATGAGACAGGGTCCTCTGCCTTCTTAATGAGCCTGTAAGTTGGAGAAATAACTTTTTAAATTTATTTACTAACTTGGTAGATTTTTAACGTTAAAATATTACATATTTATGCAATAATATTTGTATTGGAGCATTTGGTTCTTTTTGGGTGGGAGTAACTGTTAATGCATATTCCATGGAGTAAGCAAATGAATTAATGGACATTGTTTTTAACTCCTTCTGAAGGTGAGGGTGGTGAGATCATCTCCACCAAGTTCTCAGTTCAAAGCCACAATGCTGGAGTCCTACCAGGTCTATAAACGGTACCAGATGGTTATTCACAACCACTCACCTGATGAACCAACTGTCAGCCAGGTCAGCAGGCCAAGCGTTCTGTGCATACGGAACTCTCCCTTCCACTCGATATCCCTGTATGAACTATCGGTTTACTTGTGGTGCATTTTATTTATATTCCGTTTGCAGCATATCTGCAAAGAGAACTGGATTGACGGACATTCTGAAAGTGCAAATTGTGCCTAGTGCCAGTCGTGTAATTTCAAAGTGGAAAAGGAATACACAAAATGAATTATCTTTAATTAAAATCACTATCTTTAGATGCATTTATCTAAAAATAATAGAGGTCTAAGAAAATATTTGAGAAAAATGCAAAAAACCTTTACATTTTATGGTAGGCATACTTCGCCCAACAGGTTAATACACTTTCTCCCCATTTTCAAGTCACGTGTAGAAGGGTTCATTCATAACAGCTGCCTTACTCTGTTAATACACTGCCCAGACTCAGGAGAGTTAGAAAAGTAAGATAGAGTATTTGAACAAAAGTCCTGTCTTATTGCTTGTAACTTTATAAATCAAATTACCCAGGAAAAATCTGGAAGAGGAAAAAGCTTAAAGCACTTCCTATGTCGTGGTGACAAAGGGAGCGGCCATGGCCATCAGCAGCCACAGTGACTCTAGGGTGTGCAGAAAACGACGTAGGTGGGTCAGGGAACCCAAAACAAAGGAAGGTCAATGTCTTGGCCTTTATTAATGTGAAGCTAGTGCTTCAGGTCTGTGCCCGTCACTCCTCCCTGGATGATTCACTTCCTGGAGAATCCAGTGCTGAGCTTTGGAAGGGGAATTGCGGAGATCTTACTTAGCCTCACCTTCAGAAGCGTGTCATCAGGTGGAGGTGTTTCAATCGCGTTTGCTTGTATCTTCCTTGCTCTGAAGGTGAGGTTAGTACCTGTCTCCTTTGAGGACCCAGAGTTCAAGTCGTCCCTCAGCCAGTCGTTTTCTTTATATGTCAAGTATCAAATGGCCATCCACCAGGATCCGCCCGAGGAGTGTGGGAAGACCGAGGTACCCTTTGTTCCACGTGTTCCTATGTGCTGGGCGTGTGTGTGAAGAAGCAATAGAACTTTCTTATGCCACTTTTTTATCTGCTAAGTGGAGTGTGTATTACTCTACTTTCAGTGTGTATGTCTGAATATTATGAAAATGTGTTATACATGTCAACCTTTAAATCCTCAGAGAAAAGGATGTGTTCTTAGTGTTCTGCTCAGGATCCTGAATGAAGCGTGTTTATCTGTTGTCCTCAGGCCGAGTCAGCAGACATCACTGCGTGCTCGTTATCGCCAGTCTTGGTGCACCAAATCCTGCATGTGCCATGCTTCTTCCTGCACATGCCTGTGCGAAGTTTGATCTATAGATTAGGCACGTAGGAGATGGGCAGCAATAGCTAACAGTAATGGTGCAGTTGAACAACGTGCTGTAATCAAGTTATGGGTGGGAGCTTGGTCTGCCTGATAACCAGGGAGGAGCATGGACCGCCTGGATACGCTGGGCACGGATGATTGACGTCCTGGGCGGGTGGAACGGCGTGGCTCGCGATTTCCTCACACCGCTCAGAGTGGTGTGCTGTTTAAAACCTACGGATTGTTTATTTCTGGAATTTCCCATTTAATATTTTTGGACTGCTGTTGGCAGTGGGTAACAATTCTTGGAGGTGCTGAGTAGCTCTCTGCTCCTATGGCCTGTAACCCCTCATGCTGCTGCTTTCTGGCTCCTTTCTCTTGGAGGGACACCCCTGCTTCATGAGCAGGATCTTCCCTAGACAAGATATTAAACTGGGGCTCACTGATCGGCAGCATCAAGCCTGTGAGCTGCCCTAGCGGTGTCTCTGTGTAAGGAGGTGTCCCTGCTGCAGATGTTCCTACCGTGATGGAGGTTATTCCCGGCTCCTGTGCCTTCCTGGACACTGTTTGCTACAGAGTTGAGAGCACTTCCTGTGAGCGATGCAGATGTAAGAGGCCTGCACTCCTCAGGGGGACTGGGTTAGGGGAGGGTAGTCTTCCATGAGGCATATGTGGTCAGTCACCCTGGGTCCGCCCTAATCTGGAGAAACACTGGAGCTAATGGGGTACTGGGTTGTGCATGGCTCCAGCCAGCAGGTGGCGCCCTGGCTCCAGGACAGGTCTGCGCTTTGATCCCAGTCCGCCCTGCCAGTGTGGGATACAGCCCTGTATTCACAGCCTGGGATGTAGGATAAATGCTTTCCTTCTGCCCTTGGGTAGAAGCAGTTTGCATTGAGGCGTTGAATATGATGATTACAGATGATTCGTTGCTTGTGAAAGATTTAAATTTTTTGGAACTTACAGACGCTTTCAGTTTCATTTCCCCTCAGTAGTCTTACTCTGCGTATATGAAAATAATAACTTACGTTTAGAAAGTGATCACTGTATCAGACTGACATTTCCTTCAGGTATGCAGACAAACCAGTCATGTACATAGGCATGCACTAGTTTATAAATATCTAACTCATACAATTAACAGAATGTGAATGAAGGCAAGCTCTGAGCATTTTGAAGTATTTTTTATATATTTTTTAAGGCCAGGACTAACTTAGCTGAATAAAGTAGAGGGCTTAGGCCATGATCGGTTTAATTTAATTAAAAAACCCACTTTTTATGAGCAACTTCTAAGTCAGGGTACTTTTGTATTCTAATCTGTCTTAAGGTGTGTGAGACATTTACTAATAGAAAGCTTTTGAATCACTTAAATAAGTTAGAGTAAAGGTTCTATTGTATTCTTAGCATAATGTTAATTTGGGGGAGATGCAAAAGGGTTTGTGTTAAGTAGCACTGGGAACATTTTTCCTTAAAGTTTATTTTGGTCAGTAATTTCCAGAAACTCATCTCAGATCATAAAATCATAGCATCATACATTAGAAGACAAAGGGAACTTAGTGGTTGTGTAGATTGACTTCCCCTATTTGGAGAATTAGGCGATTTGTCCAAGATAATGGGGGGGTCAATGGCAGAGTGATGCCTACAAATTAAGGTGCCTTCTACTGGGCCACATTTTACCATACGACGAAGTTACAGTGGCCTAAATAATGTCTATAGAATAACTGACACCAGTGAGTGAGATGTTCAACATAAGCAAATTTTCCAGGTAATTGAAACATCTTTATTGCCAAGATTTTATGTTCTCATCATGTGCAGTGACAGTCCTTCACAGTGCGTGGTAGTCCTCTGCCTCCTCACAGTGCTGAGCAGGACTGTCTGCTGATGGTGCCCTGCCCTGTGTTTCCTGTGCAAGTGCCCGCAGACGACTGCCTTTTCTCTAATGGACTCTCTCAGCCTCTTCCTTTCTCTTTTTGATGTCAGTTCTTTCTGTGTTAGTTTGTCTAGTTTTAGCACTTTCCCTCTCTACCTTGTGGTCTCTTAATGTGTTTGTTAAAATATTTATTGAGCACCTAGGGTGTGCCAGGTACTGCTGGAGAAGCATTTGGTAGGTAGCACGTGAGTCAGCAGGTTGAGATCCCTGCTCTGGTGGGGCACTTCCGGGGTGACAGGAGGTGATCAGAGATGGTCATGAACAGTTGGCATAGTGAGTGAGTCGAGATGGTGGTTGGCAGGGATGGGTTAAGGAGGAGGAGGGCAGGTGCAGGGAGCACGCTGGTGCTCGTAACTGTCCTGGAAACGAGCGCCAGGTAACGGAAGTGGAGGGATCCTTGTGTGAGGGGGTACAAGCGTCAGAATGCTTTTCATCAACCTTTAACCTTTTAGTGCTTTCTTTGGGGGTTTTGTTTTTGGTTTGAATGTCTGAAGTTCTAGAGTAGCTTGATAATTGACCTCTCATAAACATATCCTATATAATCAAAGCCTAATGTGCAAATCCAACAGTGGAATGACTGGTTGCTATGACGCACACTGACCACAAGGGGGCAGACACTCAATGCAGGAGCTGCCCCCTGGTGTTCCCCCAGGGTGAATGGGGAACCGGGGGTGGGGCCAGCTGCAGGCAGCCGGAGAAGATGGCCCTGATCACAGGCCAGGCCTAGGGACTGTACCTGTGCATGAATTCGTGTGTCGGGCCTCTAGTATATTAATATGCACATACCTGTGTTGTTTCTCGAAAGCTGAGTAATGAGAGAATGAAGTGGAATGTGTGGCATGAAATGAATGTTAGTTCTTTTTTTTAATAAGAAATCTTTATCATTTTCTTATATATATATTTCTTTATTGATTTCAGAGAGGAAGGGAGAGGGGAGAGATAGAAACATCAATGATGAGAGAGAATCATTGATCGGCTGCCTCCTGCACGCCCCCTACTGGGGATTGAGCCCGAAACCCAGGCATGTGCCCTTGGCCAGAATCGAACCTGGGACCCTTCAGTCCGCAGGCTGACGCTCTATCCACTGAGCCAAACTGGCTAGGGCTGAATGTTAATTCTTGATTAACCAACTGCATGAAGTTGGTGTGCCCAGTGCTAAATCATTTAGACTGAGTGGTATTAAGACGACACCAAACATGCTTGTTATGTCTACAGCCTCGTACATTTTGGGTGAGAACATGACCTGAGGGCTGAGGCCATCCAGTGTGGCAGTGTGCACTGTGCAGGCATCCTGCCTTAGCTCTCAGCTCCCACTGCTGCCTGAGTGGCTTTGAGCCAGTCCGGTCCCTCAGCTGCCTCCTGTCAGGCTCCTCGTGGTAAACGTGAGCGGGTTGTAAGGGTTAAATGAAGGGGAAGGTGCTTGGCTAATGACGACTGACTGCACCGTGGCTGCTAGGGTGCAGAAGACGACCGGTAGGAGTCGGCAGTCAGGGCCACCAGCCAGCATTTGCAGTCAGAATTATGTTTTTCTTTGGTGGTTTGTTTTTCCGTTTTATTTCAAATATTTGTTTGAATTAAAAGATTACATAGGTTTAAATTTTTAATATTAAATTAGAATTAGTCCTTTCAAAGGAAGAGGTAATATTTCAAACCATTCTGTTTGGTTCATCAGCATGTAATTTTAGTCTTTAAGTTACTTTTATACCACATAAAACTATACAAGGTATTATTCAGGGGAGATTTATATGTGTATTTCTTAACTGCTTTATTTGGAACTGAAGACAAGGGAACTGATGTTTCTGGATTTGCGCTCTGGTGATGGAGGTTCTTGCTTTTGAAGAACTCACTAGATCAGATTCCCATAACCTGTAGTGTACCTTGTGCTATTACACCAACTTGTGAAAATACTCTACTGGAGTCAGGAGAAATACACGGGGCCCAGCAGAGTGCCTGGGACGGTGCCCGGAGCGGTGCCCAGGAACTCGTGGGGAGGACCCGCAGCTGAGCTGACTGTTCCTAAGAAGCAGCTGGAGAGAAGTCGCAGCCAACGGAAAACTACTCAGAAAGAAAACTGTGTTCTTGAACGTGGGACGTGAAGGAAAAGGAAAATTCAAAGGAAGTCCGGAACTCCTGACAGTTGTTTTTCTATAAGTAAAAGCTCCGTTAATTTCCTGAGTGTTGAGAAATCTGCCTCCAACGAGTAAGCACCGTTGGAGTGAGTGCAAAGCTCCCGTGATAGGAATCATCTTGTGGTGAGCGCCTTTGGTCTGGAGCTGCTGTAATTTAGGTCTGCTTTCCCCATTAAGCCTG